TGTTTTGGCGTGCTAGGTTAGAGACTCAGTGGAAACATTGTCACTCACTGGAGAACAGATGCATTCAGCTGGCCAGTTCTAAATAAGACGAAACGAGCATTCTAGACATCAGTCCTGGTCATGAAAGCAAATAATTCTGAAAAACAGTAAATATTGTTGTGTAGTGAAGTAATTTTTAGCAATTGTGCCTTATATCTAGGAATTAGTGGAGGGTATCAGTTTCAGTATCTGGTACCAATGTTTAACATCCAATATCACTTCAGAGTGTACTGCTGTGCATAACAATGCTATACAAGTCAGTTTACTGAATAAACTGAACACTCAACCAATAAACTTCAGTCACATTCTTTCACTATAGTTATGAGTTATAATGATATGACATTACTGAACATCATGTGACCAGAAAGGATTAACAACGAGGAACTCTGTCAGCACAACGAACCTTCCATGAATCAACACTCCAGAAAATATGCAGAAGAAAATTGGGTTGGATCACATACTCACTGAGGAGACGGTTGAGTGACATCACGCACCAGGACATCGCTCAAGTGGAACTGGGGTGGGAAACGATGAGTTCGGTGTGTGTCCGAGGCTGATGTGGAGGAGATTGTGTAAGGAGGATATGATGGTTTAGGGCAAGCGTGAAACCACATAGAGAGGACTGTAGAGAAAAGGGTGAGATGGTGATGTGTTTTTGAATCACCATGTTCCACTCGGTACCTATGGGAATAATAATAATAGTAATACGATAGGGTAAGTTATCTCAATTCATCATGCCCATGTTTCATTTTCTTCTAATGAGAATATTTCATATTTCATTTCTTCTAAAGTGAACATTATACAAGTCACTTTTTGAAGACTTATGCGCATGTGTGAAGTCATTTTATTTTTAAAAATATGTTCTCATCGTTATTCCAATATAAATGAACTGTTATAACAGGAGAAGAAAGTCAAAAAAACAAAAATATGGAGGATGAATACGGTAAATGTAATTCTAGACAGATGAAGAATTCGGGTGAATTCACCTTCACATAGCCAGAAGAGTAGTAATCTGACTGACTTCGAAGACTGGAAAAGGCGCTTGTAGCTGAGTGTAGACTGATACAGAGAGTAATAAAGTGGCTGGCCACTTCCGATATGCAGTCACTGCCTCAATGAAAACCTGAGACATCATAGTTGCAAGCAAAGACTACAAAGCATTTGATGAGACAATAGACCATACCTACTCACTGTGATGATATCACGAAAATGTGAATGTTTCTACCAAGAAAGAGAAGAAATTGGGTACTGTGGTAGAGTATAATTCCATCATAGAATAATTTTATGTGATGAAAACCACAATGATACCGTATTATCTAGTGATGAGGGGTTGAGGAAAATGTGATGCTCACACTCGCAACTGATCATGCTGTCTCAGAGAAAATCACCGAGTTAATAACTAAGACTCGTAACTTATTTGGTGGAGAGAGAGAGAGACAGAGAGCATCGGATAGGTAATGCTGATGCTTCATTTCAAATGACCATTTGTATTCAATATTGTTTAACTAGTCTTTATGAAAAAGGGGGGAATAAATAACTTTATATCAGTCAGTCAGTAAGTCAGCTACTCAGTTAGTTATTCAGTAAGCAATACCTTCCATTATTAAATCATATGATAACTTGTACAATCTTGATGAAATCTAATGATAACTCGTCATAAATTGAATGATTTCAATATAATTTTCTGTTTGTGTGTGCACACCTGTGTATAAATGAATATCTGCTACAATAATGTAGATTTGATCTGAACTAAATGCATTTATTCATGCACTCATATGATAGAAAGTTATGCATTTTATGGTGTAATTCATCGAATGGCTACAATCGATCTGAGATGGAGAAGTAGTGTACTTCACTGTCTACCCACCACTCCCTCCCTCCCTACCGAGATCACCATCAGCACCACTCATCTCTCCTCCATTCACACTATTTCTCCCCATAAAATTGTCATCTGACTGTATTGTTTTCTCATTTGATGCTATCATCACTCTCCACTGTAGACATGAATTTATTATTATTGCTGTTATTATTTTGGAATAAGATAGTTAGTTTTCGTCTAACATATTTGGCATTAAGTATAACAAACAGGTGGACACATAGGAAGTAGTAAGTAGGCAGTGGGTCGTAAAGCAGAGGATAAATTCATGAAACTAAGAAAATTCAAGAGAAACAATCCACTGCACAGTAAAACTGTTAGTGGTCTTTCACATTCACACCCGTATATACACGCACACATACATACATAATAACATACACACACCAACCTACATACACAGCATTTCATTCTACCTGTGAATGCCTTCAATATAATTTAAGACTAAGATATTCTGCTGTTTTCACGAAAATCATACACACACACACATTATTATCATTATTGGCACTAGTAGAAAAATAACCTCAGTAGTAATCACAAACTAATTCATGTTTGAACAATGTGTAAAAATAGAATACGGAACACTTTGACAACACAAAGTGAAAATAAAAGCCGGTCATTTTTGGCATAAGAGCTGTTTACAATTTCATTACTATCTCTCTTTGTCATTCAAACATGATAAGTAGAGATTTTTCATTCTAATATCTTGTCAGTAATTTTTACTACCCTCAGACTATTTGAATCAAACATAGAACATGTTGTTTATTGACTCATTCGTTGCATTAATTCTTCATAGACAAGCACGCATACGTGATCTCAGTATTTGACTAGTGGATAAGGTTCTATGCATATGAAACATGGTTAAAGATGAGGAGGAATGATGATAAACACAAAGTGTAGCATCATAGCACCACCTACAACCAACCATCCAACATTCATTCTAAAAGTGCATCACAACAGTGAGTCTCCAAAATTGATGACCGCACTGCAAATTTGCCTGGTCGCGTGAACTGCGTCTTCATCAACCACTTCTCAACACACAATACTGGTTTCCCCCTACTCACTAATCAACGTACCTCAATAGATGTTTAAACATTGTCTAAAATATTCGTGTCACAACTGATCGTCTGTAAGACTAGATTATGTATGGAGGATAGTGGTCATGGGAAGGTAAATAATTAATGACACTGTAAATGATTACATCTTATTAAAACGACAACAACAACAACCAATTTCCTTATCGGTCTCACTACAGAAAGTGTTTAAAGGTATCCAATATGCCAAGGTTATCTCTTCCATGAAATAATGGTATGTCTATATTGATGCATCGCTCCATTATTTAATAATGCGAATAGCATTATCACTGGGATTATTTTCAACACAAATGCACACACCACCGCCGCCACACTTCAAATTGCTTCTGAGTATGAAGAGGGCTTAGTTTCAATGACTTATTTCCACAGCTATTCATACAGACGATTCGATCAACTAAGAAAGTGTTAATATTCATTTCAGTTGTTAAATAGGCACTATAGAGAAACTCCCCCATTTGCACCATAAATGATCCAAACAGTAGATAGGTAACGACCACTCAATGTAGAGAATGACAATATTAAACAATCCTGAATAGTCGTCTTAAAGAAGTATTACAGATATACCATTCATCACTATCACCCGTATCAAACCAACTAACCAACAAACAAACAAACAACAAACACTGAAATAAATAAACAAAGTTCATTTCTCTTATCGATGTGTCCATGATAGATGAAATATATTTTCCACAGTTGAATAAATGATGATACTGACTGACTTTGTTACACTTTCAGAAGAAGATTGGTCAAAGAATATAAACTTTATATATATAAACAGCGGTTGGATCAATGACAAATATACCTTTGCTTCCGTGTCTTGCCTTCTGTTGTTACAGTACGATTACTCTTATTACTGTATACTGTAGTAGTAGTAGTAGTATTATGTATCTCTTAGCATACTGGCAGATAAAATACGTTTCCATGATACGTTCCATTTCAACGTGACGTTACGAGGTAAGTGGTGCATACCAGTAGACTACACAAATCGTCTTCACACATATTTTAGACTTGTCCATCAAATGAATTTATGCAACTCCTCCATCATACTAAGTGATCGTGTTTCCACTCAAACTTGGGACCACCACAACATCTGGAATCCATACCTTGCTACACATGAAGAAAAACACTTTACCATTTCAAAACATCACCGCTTACTTCATGACTGTTTCAGTGGACACACTATTAGTGCTACTACGTACGCCTATCTGAGAAGTCCCACATATGACGAAACGCACATCTTCAACTCAAATGTTTTCAATAACCTACCACACGTCGAATAATATAATGTTGTGCATAATATCAAACAATTCTACATTCCGATGGACAACTCACTGTTATCACCACACTACAATATGCTACACCATACGTCAACTTGATATAATGGAAATTGTTCAGTTGAAGCGAATAACTAAACGTGAGCAGCTTTCATGTAACAACTTAAGCTAACCGTCAGAGAAAGTGAAGAAAGGTCATTCAAAAAGTCTTGTACAAAAAATATGTATTGCTCTATCTTCCATCACAGATTTATCAACCAATAATAGTAATAATAATTTGTCACATCAAAGAAAACAATCACATCACCACGATCAACAATTAAAGCACAACCAAACAGAAGAAACTTCTATTAGTTTAATCATCAATAAAAAATTAAAAAATATACACAAACAATAAATAACATCTCTCACTCTGTCATCCAATAACACACTCTCATCAACAAGATCATTTATTCAAAATATCAAAAAAACATGTGTTTGATTTCCAATATATATCAAAAGATAATGGTGTGTGTGTGTGAGTGTATCAATGTCTGGGTATATGTACATCTGGACAATATGTTGCAATGATAAAGAGAAAAGTTCAAAGAAATAAGAACGAAGCGGCACCACCACAGTATCAGCAGCGCACCAGCAGCAGAAGTGGATATACACAACGAAAAAGAAGAAGCAAAACTCTCGTGTTTACTAGAGTCATCTCCATCATTATTAAGGATGTTAGCTAGTTCGTTATTGCTGTTTCCTTTACTCACTTGCACACCACACCACATCATACCATACCATACCATACCATAGAAAACAGGTCAACATCTCGTTGAATTCAATCATCAGTGTATCATTCCATGTATGGACAATGCGAATTCCAATGCAATTGAAACTCAGTCTTATCCGTCGAATGAAATTCACACAATGGACACTTGCCTTCCACCCGACTAGCTGAATCACATTTATTCCTCTCCTAAATGACACAAACAACAGAAGGCAAAGAGGAAGACATTAAAGGAATCGTTGAACTGAGAATGCAAACAAAAACTTCACCGTTCTAATAAAACTAAAACATATTCAGCAATCAATATAATAACATGATTATAAACACTGGATAAGATAATGAAATAGCACGACATACAACGCTCAACATACAAACACAGAATTTCATCAGCGTATCAGTTGGTGGTAAATGCAGGGATAGTGACCGTAAGCTAATGAATTCCACACTCCAAACAGTTTTCTTCGTGTTTCCCTAAGAAAATCAGACACACTTCACTCTCATATTTACTTACACAACTCCACTTGTGTGTTGACGTCCCACAGATATAGTTCGCCAATAACTGACATCATTTCCACAAACCATGGGAAACTACGCCCATTACATACCTACTTCATTTACTCCTACATCGTGACTCGAATTCAACTCAACACTCCATATTTAAACTTAATACCTATTGAACAAATGACAACTGAACACACTAAATGCCATACAGTAAGATACACAAATCGACGAAATTCATTTAGGTTTCCACACTCAACACATGCACAGTGATAACACAAACTAAATTGTAAACTGACAGTGAAAAGTAATGAGTAACGTAACCAAATACACATCAGAATAAAACTCAGTATACACAAACACATACATATATATGTTTATATAAACACACAAATATACGCTAATACTCACCTCATCCTGCACCAACTCCTCACATCCACTGACTCCATCAAATTCAGTAACACCATTCACACCAGCATCATCACCCAAATCACACACACCTTCATTACCCAACCTCTCATATCCATGATTCATCACACTACTCGGTGGAGTCGGAGGATGGTCAATTCCCACTCCAGGAAATCCACTCTGTGGGAAATAACCATACAATATATCTCCTTCTCGAGGTGCATGATACTTAACTATCCTCAACAACGCCTCATTGGGAAGGTGAGAGACATGACGACCCAGTGGACATCGACGCATATGCTTCGCCACATCCCATTTCCACTTGGCTCGATACTGACAGTAACAACAGCCAAACATCCGATGCTCAGAATGGTTCACCATATGAGCACGCAACTCACTGAACCAACGAGCACGAAATTTACACACGGGACAGATGAAGGTAGACTCCGACGCATCACTCTTCTTCATTCCATCTTCACCACTGAATGACACTTCTTCACTCATTCGTCTGAACCACATTTCTTTCTCATTCATCACATCACCTGCATGACGGGATTCACATGAAGAAGCGAACTCACTATCCCCCATTTTCCTACTCATTTCAACACCCACACTCTTTTCTTCTTCTTCTTTTTTATCTTTGCCAGTGATCCTTGACATTTCCACACTCGAAACACCACACTCTTTTGACCATAGTCCTGAATCACCTACACAACCATCATGTAATGCATTGTCACGTGACGGTGGAAAGTGATCAACAGACACTTGTCCCAAATCTCTCATATTCATCGTGTTCAACACACCTACACCAGACAAATCTGAATGACATTCAACACTCCTCACTCCCCCTCCACAAACATTACTCGTCTGGAATGATTCGACGCGTGGACAATCACCCGACACATCAAGTCTCTTCTCACCCAATCTAACCAACAAACTACCAATAGCCAACAGCAAACTTGAACATGTTGCGGACAACTGCATTGAGTCACCCACATTCTCATCAACCTCATTCTCCACAATATTCACTGCTGTCTCCAACAAACCGATCAGTAAACTCCGACTAATACGCGTCGCCTTCTTCCTACTTCCACTACCCTCTTCCTCTGAAGACACAAATTTTCCACCCGACACTTTCTCCATCTCACACGTCTTCACCGAACAACTCCCTTCACCATTCACTCTCATACTCAAATCACCTCTACCCTCACTGCACTCACTACTCCCATCTGACACTCGTCCGTCTAACACACACTCAATTCCTCCTCCTGTATTCAACGGCTTCACAAATGACAAATCGAGTGGTTCCATTCCTTCACCAGATACTCCACCTTCACACACATCCACAGAATTCACATCAAACCGACTCGGACCACTCGACACCAACTCACTATCTCCAATGTTCTTCCTAAACACCTCTGAATGCTTCTCATTCATGTCACTAAAACAACCATCTCTCACAGATGGAAACACACTGTGTCTCCGCTTACTATCCACATTCACATTCTCACTCCCATCCATCGGTGATCTCACACGCTTAACTCCACATTCAGAAATCCGCTTGTGTGCTCTACTTTGACCACTTGGAGACGACGAACACGGAACAACTGATAACCTTCTACGTCCACAAACGAACAAACGATCACGACAATCCATCGGGGCTGAAACACGTCCACTTTGTCGCATCTCCATCATATCACCACCACCTCCCCCACCTCCTCTCATCACACTCACACCCCGACAATCATCAATCGAATTCTGTGATTTCACCACTCCATAACCAGATGACACGTTGTTTGCATTGGGTGGTCGATTTTCACGATCTTCATCTCCCATCGTGTAAATTGCCCCCAACGAAGCGGGCGTGTTCGTATACCTGACATTCACTTTATTGCAACCGGTATTCTCAATAGATGAGAGAGGTCCATTGGAACTTGTCGCCATCGTCTTGACATCACCTTCACCACAATCATCACCATCTCCTTCATACTCTGCATCATCTCCATCTTCGTCACCATCACCGTTGTCTATTTCACCATCGACTGCAGGATTATCCTCACCCCCTACCTTCTTCATCAACTCTGAATAGTGTTTATCCCTCCAGTGTTTATTCAGTGATTTCTTGTGTTTATAACTGGAACCACACAGTCTGCACAGATAGACTTTTGAACCATCACCTTTCCTACTCTGGATAACAACAATAAGAAAAAGGATGAGAAAAAATAAATAAATGCGTGATGAATCATTCAGTCAAATATCACTGACACAGTTAACTTTGACTTATTTACTTATTCACATAACATCATAATTATGTGTGTGTGTGTGAAAATGGTTCATATCAGTGGAACATTGGTACATTCGGTGATTCATCCATCCATCTACGTAGAATTTATGACACGAAGTTCATTTCAAGCCATTCCTTCTTTAAGGTTAATCATCACCATTATCATCACATGATGAAATACGCTATTCTACATGAATTGTCAGTGTCCATTGTTATCCTTTAATTCCAACCTGTAGTCAATATATTACTATTCACACTGGAATAAAACTTCATTCTGATTAACATTCACTAATCACTTGTGTCCTAGATTGTTTGTTTACAGTGTATTCTACAAAGTGATATATGGCAACAAAATCCTCTTTACTGATGGGAATCAACCTAGGAATATATGGATACATGTGTATTATTTGAAAAATGAAATGAAACCATTGTCCCATTCCTCATCATGCACCATTTGATTCGAAATAATGTTACTTCAGTCATTCAGAAAGTGAAGATTCTGTGAATAAAAGTGGAATCTACACTTTCAAGGACTATGGAATACAATAAATGACTCGTGAAACTAGTTGTCAACTGCAATTCACAATCTTATAGAAGACCACTTTTAACCTCTCTCAAATCGGTATTATCATGATTCGTTGTGGTGTGTGAAGGATGTAACTGTTCAGCTATCTGTTTCTGTACATCTGAGTCAGTATTCTACCTCTCTCTCTCTACTTCGAATATCCTGTCAGTGTGCAGGAAACACTTGTCAGTAGCATTATGGAATACAACATTCGCCTCTCTAACACTTAGTCAAGTGACTATACACAGAACATGCACAAAGCAATCTTCCCCTAACAACAAGCTGATTGATGCTTAGTAATCAGTCCTAAACGTTCACTATAACTCACTAATTAGAAATTGATGGAAACAACTGGGAATTGAATCCCCACCTCCTGTATAGCTGAAAAGCATTCTAACATTGAATCAGTATCTTTCATGTACGATGATGAACAGCAAGCATACTCAACTCATGTCTTCCTGAAAGAAAAGCCAATTGTGTCCTGTTAATCAACTTAAATCCATTGAGTGAAACGTGTGGATTTCAGGCTGAGTGGATCTCCCTGTGTTCCATAGGATAGCATCATAATGACTTGATATAAATCAAGTCTCAAACACCATCTTCTGAATTTCGTTTCACTGTCTGATAGGTATACTGTAAACTAACTAATATGGAATAACTCCTGTCAAATGCCTGTCAACACATTAGTTTGAAAAACGTAGAAGTATTCCACGAAAGGCTTTTTCAACTCAATAAATATATAACAAACATGATCCACTACATACTATCATTGACATTGAACAATCTGACACAACACGATATTATTTATACTCCACTGATTCAAAAATAAATATAAAATATTAAAACCATGTAAATTCAGTGTATAATCAGTTATAGGTCAAGGGTGAAAACAAGAATTGATACAGTAAGGCGATTAAGAGTATAACTAGGGTAGAACTGAGAGTTGACGCGTTATGTGTAGAGATTCTCCTGGTTTCAGCACGAATTGTTCAAACAGTCAACGCCTCATGGGATTCTGGATGTGCACTGTTAAGGCATACTACACTTAAGACGACTAGTTCTCTTTCTTTTTCACTACCCTTTTCAGTCACGGAAGGAATAAAATTTGATTACATGAATACCATTCCAGAAAATGAAAAGTATGGTGACAAATCAAAGCCACTTCACAACAATGCAACTGGGACTACTTAATACTAATATATGTTGAAATGTAACAAATAATGACTGTCAACATAAACTAGTCACATAAGTACACTCAAATATGAACACGCCTCATATGTTAACACATCATCCAAGCACAGAAACTAAACGTGACTATTGGGAGACAACTAATCATGTCAACTAGTGACCACTGAAACTGCAATACGCAGACTAATTAGGTCAATGCTTTACAACTCTGTACGATAATATCAAATAATTTAACGATAAGGTGGTCTCACATTTATGAGTAGTCATAAATCTACAGAATCTGTACACCAATTCACGATAATGTAGTGTGAAACCATGATGTGAGTTCTACTACATTTTTATATGATTAGAGGATATACAAGTGAAATATCTATGCAGGTGAGTTCAAGATAGATCTAATTCAAGACAACAATACTAAACTACGAATATCTCATATCTTCTCATTGACTTATAAAATGTAGGAAAGAGAAACTAAAATTACTACTACTAATATTACACTGCACAGAATTCGACTTACATACAATGCGTACATAGAATAAACATACCTCATAAAATTTCCATGGTTCTACAGGTCGTCGAATTTGATAACGAAAACCTCCAACTCCCCCTTCACAAATATTCCATATTTTATTCAAGTCAATCTGACCTAAGCTTTGGAAGACTGATTTCGGTGGTGAGGTTGATTTCACTGGACAAGGAATATTCATGATTGTCGAGGGAAACACTGAACACTGACTGGTGGATTGATGTCTCTCCAGTTGAGGGGAAGTAGGAGAACATTGTCTTTCCTTGGTGACTGCTGATGAATTCTCAAGGTTCGAGTGATGGTCACTGTCACTCTTGTCATATTTCACAACAGAACAAGTGTTACTAGCACCTCCATTATTTTCACACTGTTTCTCACTTAACGGATTCCGTATTCTCAATAATTCCGAAGTCATTTGAAAGTCAATATCATCCAGTGTGTTGTGTTTGGGTGAAAATTTCAATCTAATAATCCAAAAATATGAAGTAGTATTTTGACAAATTGATCTAGTGGAATTGAAGATGAGTTTTGTTCCAACTGGGCAGATTGCTCTTTGGGATAAAATATACTATGCTATGAATGAACACATGAATGAATGAATCAATATGAGAATGTGTGACTCAGAGTGGTCTAATCGGATTGACGAATGATAAAGCAGCAGCTGGTTGGTCATTCATGATCTTCACTCTTCCACCAATCTATGACTGTCTATGATTTGGTTTTCCTCTCCTTATACCCAACCCCACCCTGTGTCTATTGTTCTCAGTAGACTGACTTTTGAGATCTGCTCAGGAGAATATGAGGTTATGGGTGGTGTTGGTGGTGGTGGTAGTAAGGAAGAAAAAAAGCTATGAGGCATGATCCCCAACACACACACACACACACACACAAACCCATACACGCCCACAAGCACATTAAAATGAGGGGATACACAACACACACAAACACACTCTATCTTGGCATACATAGACGAATGACATTCTCCTAATGGTGATTTAACTGACAGACAACTCTCACACTGAATAGATTA